GATTCATAAGAATTGCTTGGATTGGTATAAAACAAGTGTTAAGGACATACGTAGTAGTTATGAATATAGACATATGCATTTTAATGAAAGACATATCCATTTTCCCATGATTTATTATGAAGATAGGTATTTTTGGAGTGAATAACTAATCAAAACTTCAGCGCTCTTGGTAATAACCAGTTCATTTGCAATTGTCATATCGCCGATTTGGCCGCTTTTGTACGCGTTAATGCCTCACGTGTTCTTGATTCTCCAATTTGTCACGAACCAGAGCACCTCAGAGGCCGACCAATTGCGACACTCACTAAAAATGAGCTTTCCTGCAAATGTATTGCTTTTTACTACTTTTCAATATACGCATTTGTGTTGATATCGTGCAATTTTTATGTTTCAATCTATAAGAAGTATACCGTGATGCATCTAATGAGTCATAGCTGTATTGACGATAGCAATGATATATTTGTTGTCTCGCCCTTCGATTCTCCAAACCATCATCAACGACTGGAATCGAATGAATAAACAAACTGTGATACGTTAAATAAGTTGCAAGTTCTGTATAACTGCAAGTTTCGAAAGGCAGCATATCTGCTCAGTTCATTACGGAAGTAACTAGAATACAGCATCATCAGTTTCTAGTCATAATGCATCCACCAAAACGATTGGTCATACTTAAAACCATATAGAAATCACCTGTCCATGAGTAATGTATAGCAAGGAAACATTAAGGGTTAATCGCGTAGTTTTTTGTATGGTTATGAGCTGAGTGAATATTGATCATGATTGTTATTTCAGCACCATCCGAGAAGGTTTGTTCTGAAAACGGAAGATATTGCCCAATAGGCTGCAGTTGTCATGATACTGTAGTGAGATGTTCGAATCGAGCTCTCAAAGAGTTCCCGTCGGGCATACCACTCGAAACAACTGAGCTTTTCCTTGATTCGAACGAAATCACTTCAGTTCCATTGCATCATCTCAACAAACTCTACCAACTTGCAAAACTGTATGTTTGTGTTCTGTTATCGTTCGAAAGACACCTTCTCCAACGAGTATGAAAATGAATGTTGTCACTGCTTTTAGAAGCCTAAAGGAACGTTATTTATAGAGATTTGAGTCACAATCGTTTGACCGTTATCGAAAATGAAGCATTCGCGAATCTCACAAAGCTGTCAACATTGATCCTAAGCTACAACAAGCTACAATGCCTCGAGGCGACTGCATTCGCCTCCTTAAACGGTCTTCGAATTCTTTCATTGCACGGCAATGACCTTTCTGTGCTCCCTGAAACCGCTTTCGCCAACCTCACTAATATCACACACATGTAAGGAAACTTTGACAATAGTTTGAACCTATCATTTGATAATTTTTAACTGAATCATCGTAAACTTATGGAAAACAATGTAAAAATGAATCTTAAAAGTACCCCCACATTGTAGCGCATTGGGTAGCAATTCATTGTACTGTGATTGCAACATGGCATGGTTCAGTAAATGGATAAAAGCACGTTTTGTTGAGGCTGGAATCGCTCGATGTGAATTACCACTTTCAGTTCGCAATCAACTTCTTCTCACTGCCAATGAACGTCATTTCAAGTCTGTGTTCTCCTTTCTTACTAACTTCGATATTTCTGAATGCATAAACCAAATACAGTCTGATTCAATCAATATATGTGGCTACTAAGAACCGTAAGTGAACGATTGAATGCGAAATCACATTCCAATTCTGAATCACAATAAGAAATTTGTCAAATTTATTGCTTTTATGAGGAAAATTATGCATGAAAAAAAGAATTTCGGCATCAACAAGATGATATGAATTAACATTTGCAGAGTTATAATGGATTTCAGCATAAGTTAAGTGATTATTTCAGATGCAACGAGAATATACCACGGTCAATACTAAGCAAATGTGATCCGTGTATCGAGAACCCGTGCAAAAATAAAGCCAAGTGCAGGAAGCTCAGCGGACGCTCATTTGTGTGCGAATGTCCAGTTGGTTATCACGGAAGCCTTTGTGAAGATCAGATCGATGCATGCTATGGACATCCTTGCTTAAACAACGCTACGTGCAAGGTTACTTTCTTACTACTGTGCTTCATTTCATGTAGGTAATTTTCTCACAATAAACTCATCCTCGTACGTATCGCTTTTTATATTCCTTCTTCCATCATATTATATAATTGATGAGAAATGACATTTTAAAGTTTATATTATATAGGTAATCCAAGATTATATAGGTAACATATGTAATATAATATAGGTAATATAATATTAAATAGGTAATCCAAGGTAATCCAAGTAATCCATGATCCAAGATTTTTATATTCCATTAGTTTATTATACAGGTAATCCAAGATGGAAGATTTGCTTGTCATTGTGCGAAAGGCTTTGAAGGAGATCGCTGCGAAACGAATATAAATGACTGTATTGATCATAAGTGCCTGAATGGAGCAATTTGTATTGATCGCGTATGTTCTTGCTTATTTCAATAGTTTTGTCGTGTTTCTTTGTTCTTCTCGATCAGTGGTTCTCATAGGGGATAACTCACTCCCTGAGGAATAATTTGGGGTTTCAGGGGGTAATTGAGGGGGTCGGCAACTGATATTTCGTGTAGTTGTTATGTTATGATGGAACGCCACCGTGACGGTGTTCTTTCACGTGGATAAATGAACGTGGTTGGCTCATGGCAACACTCTTCTTTATCCCATTTTCTGAGTACATTTAGTTCGCCCAGGTGCGAACAAAAGTCAGTTTGAAGTAGTCACGAGTATTTCCTGAGTTCTTTAATATATTGGCTGACATTGCCTCCCATGAGCAGTACTGAGTTGTTTGGCGCGTTAAAAAAGATCATTGGTTTGGTGCGAGACGAGCGAGTATTTCTGAATTCATCCATTGCTATTATTCGATTGCAATGAAAAGTATTTCAATTACTGCATAAAGTGGAATTTTCGCTTAGTAAACTGAGTTTTTTTGAACAAAGTAACTGCTCAATTGCGTCATAAGTGTCTGATTTGTGACGAATTGTTGTGGGATTCAAGATTGGAAATTGTTTTCACGTTTATGAATGAGATATTTGGGCATGTTGTTGTTTTCAACCGTCTTCCAAGATTGCATTTGTAGAAATAGTAAGTTCTTGTAGTGGGAGAGGGGGGGGGGCTAATGACGGCCTGCCAGATGGAAGAGTGTGATGGAGCTCCTGAACGTAAGAACCACTGTTCTAAGGGAACTAAGGAATTATTGAGTTCTTTTCTGAAATTCATTTCGAAAAAAGTTAAACTGTTTGTTGATTTTCAATTTCATCAATTGACCGAAAAAGATGATGCCTCATTGCTACACTGCTACTTGAAGACTAGTACAACATAAAAAGGTTTAAGCTAATATTTGAGGAAGTGATATAAGCTGATTTGAAAGAATAATTTCAAGTTCCAATATTAGTACGGTAAGTAGATTACTGTCAAGGTGGAGGAATCGATATTGATCGTGTGTATTTATCTTAATTGTTCTCCTGTGCATTCCCATTTTTCTCAGGTTAACGGCTACGATTGTAAGTGCCCACATTTATACGTTGGCAAATATTGTGAGGAAAAACTTGAATATTGTTCAAAGAAGTTAAATCCATGTCAGAATGGAGGAAAGTGCACTCCGACTGGCGACCATTACACGTAAGCACACGAATACAATGAAGTTCTGCTTTTGTTTGTCACCGTTTAATCGATTCTTGTTCGCGATAAGTAATAATGATATGTTGGCACGACAAAGGTTTATGCTTCTGAAAGAATTGAATTCGTTGAGAATAGTGGATTTCAGTGTTAAAAAAAGTAATTGTTAGAAGTTGATCATTTAGGCTTCGCAGTCAATTTTATTTGTTACATGTTTGACTTTCCTTTGGAAAAATTATGTTCTCTTTATAGATGTAAATGTCTTCCGGGCTTCAGTGGTTCGAATTGTTCGATTAACATTGATGACTGTGTGAACAATTTGTGCAAAAATAATGCAATTTGCGTGGTGAGTTTTCAAGTACTTGCGGTCTTTTCTTGATCGAGTTTACTTTTAGCTAAGCACGGAAATCTTGACAAACTATCATCAAAGTTTCAGAGACTTCAAAAATTGATGATCAATTAGAATCAAGGATAAATGATTGATTTGCAGAGTATTTACTAGTTGATATCATTTTCAGTAAAGTTGATTTGGAAAAATAACTTACTAATACAGCTCTTTCATAAAAGGGAAACAATTCATTCATTCGCAGTGCACATAACAAACTGAAATAAAGCAGTCATCTTTGAGAGAGCATACATGTAACAATGTGAATTTTCTGCAATCAAATCCTGTTAATCATTCAAGCATTTTGCAGTTGCAATTCTTAGTGACAAATCCATTTCGTTTCTGAATGAATAATTTATTTCTTGACCAAGAAAGGTTATGCTTAAAGTAACACTGAAAAATTTCATTCATCTTGTATTTTATAGGATGGAATCCAGTCGTACACGTGTGAATGTGTTGACGGTTATACGGGTAAATTTTGTGAATTGGCACCAATATCAAATGATCTCTACCCTAATATATCACCTTGTCACGCACATAGCTGCGAACATGTAAAGTTTTCCCTTCTCTCTTAATACAACATCTGTGTTCTAAACAATCCAAATTAGCCGAGTTTCACTTATAGTCCTGTTTTTACATGACTTGTGATATCCAAGGAATACGGCTTACTAAAGATTTTATTCCCATCAATGGTGTTCTCCAAAATCTTTTCGAAAATTTATCCAAATTGTTCTGTTAGGTGTTTACGTTAAACATCAAACGCAATAATTGTCTATGCATTCAAAAAAGTGAGTGTGCCTTCTCATCAATATTGTTATTCACCATCCTCTATTTTCAGTTCAATTCAATATTTAGTTTGCCAATTCCAACCTTATGAACAATACAGCGCAGCATTTTTAGATGCAAAAGCCGATGTATTTAAGAATTCAATGACTTTAAAAGAAGGCCAGCCTATAAATTTTCTGAGAAATGAATGTCCTCATTCTATATGGAATTTATCTCAGGATGCTACCATCTGTTATGTAAATTTTGTTCTATTCATACTTCAAAGCGTTCAAAGCATATTGACGAAATTGAAAAGATTCAAGAAAATTTTTGGGAAACGTTTTACAACGCAATTCATGCAGTAACATCAATTGAAGGGCGCATGTAAACAAACCGAAACAGATATACAATGCAGCTGCTTCGAAGGATACACTGGACAACGATGTGATCGTTTGAGAGCTGTTGCATTTGCTGAACGTGGTGCATACGTCGCTCTTGAACCATGGAATACCTCACCAACAGGCAACCTTTCTCTGACAATTCGAACAACATCGAGGTGATTGTATTTCAAAGCTGGACGTTTACTGATGAAACGATAGGAAGTTGTTGCCTCTAAGCACTGTTCATTACCAGATCTCAATGCACTGATACACTCAATTTATATTTTGAAAATATTATATGAAAGTAATAGCTGCAGCTATTTTTTGTATCTTTTGGTAGTTATGGTTAAAATTTCAGCACTGGCATTATAGCTTACTACGGTGATGATTCGCATATCTCGATAGAACTGTATGATGGTCGAGTGAAGATTGCTTTTTATGTTGGAAATTACCCAACATCGCATATGTACAGCTATGTTACAGGTTTGAGTTTGTCTTTTGCATTGAAAACGTGAAACCAGTAAAAGTTCTTGATAGTGATCTGTGAAACGATTTCTCGTGTTCGTTCTTTGTAATTTACATCGCTTTTTTGCAGTACATGATGGGCTTCCACATCATTTGAAAATTTTCATTGATGGTAAAACCGTGATTATGAAAATCGATTCTGCTCAGCCGCAAAAAGTTGTAAATTCTGGTCCAAGGGACTCTCTCGAGTTAAAAACAAAGACGAATTTCTATTTGGGTGGTCTTCCACCCAAAATAGCTGCTAAAGCATTGGATGCTTTCCACGTTAAGAATGTCAACAGCTTTCAAGGTAAATATCATTAGTAATAATTAGAAATGGGAGTATTTTTTGATTGTTATAAATTAGTTTGGATCACAATTAATGTCAGTAAATTTAACATTCCTGAAAACCGTTTCACATTGCAATAGAAGGAAATTCAACTTGCTCAGTTATGTTAAGTAACCCCTCGAGCTAATGTGTGTTCTTTTTCCGAGGACATATTTTTTGTGATTAGTAGCCAACAGTCCTCTTTCTGCTCGGCATTCTGCTTTTTCAAATTTTGCTAGGATTCTTGAGAGTGTTTGGGCTTCGTTCGATTTCATACAATCTAGCTATGAAATCTGATTAGGAAATATTGCTGATTTTGAATGTATCCAAAGTTTGCAGTGGACTGTATGAAATTTGATATTTTAGGTTGTTTATCTGATGTTTTCGTTAACGGTGAAGCAATTGATCTGAGTAAAGCAGAGAAGCTAGAATCTGTACAGAGTGGTTGCTCACATACAGTTGATGTTTGTGGTGGTGTTAACTGTAATAGGGGAGCATGCGAATTGAATTCGAGCATGCCTTTGGGATATGAGTGTCATTGTGAACCAGGCTACAGCGGTATTCATTGCGAGAAAAGTTAGTCCATCGTTCCATTCCTCTTCTCCAGTTTCACTATTAGTCATTATATGTTCAGCATTACACCGTCAGATTAGTTTTTTGCGTTTCCATACAGTTAAAGATGTCCACAAAATTGCAGATGTTCAGTATTACAGAATGCTAGAACGAGGTTTGTTTTTAAAGTGTCATCGATAGCTGGGCAACCCAAGTTTGGGCTCTCTTAGATTAAATTCTGATAGAATTCACTCGCAGTCTCGGAATGTCGTATGTCATGGTTGCAGGAGAGGTGTTCTGTACGAAAGAGAAGTTTCGTCGTATTCATGAAGAAGATGGCTGTCGATCAGTCGAGCCAATCAAAAATGCACGATGTCGTGGTTGGTGTGGTGAAGAGAGGGAATGTTGTACTGTGGTGAAAGGTAAACGAAGAAGAGTGAAAATGCACTGTAAGAATGGATCGGCAAGTGTTCGAATTGTTCACATTGTCAGGAAATGTGAATGTGCTGCACAAAAGATTTGTTCAAAGCAACGTCAATAATGAATCTAATTGCATAACTGCACACTTCGATATTTTAATTTTATGTGCTACGTCCTTTCTTGAAAATACCATCGGCATTTGCTAAACTTTTATCACACTTTCCCATTCATCACTGCACATATAATCAATAGCGATGTACTAAATTAATCTAGTAGCGATTATCATCACTCAAAAAATTAATACAATCAAAATGGAATTATTCCTGAATTCCATTCAATCAGTTGAATGGAATAAAAGTGGGTATAGGTTGAAGAAACCGGTCATGTCTTCTTATCGGTTGAGTGATTGCTCGGAAGCTTTGCAAAATTCCTCGAAGAAGTTCAATCGTTCCAGTTTTTCTCTTGTATATCTATATTCCTTATTCGAAACTCAGTAATTTCGAAAAGTATGACATAAATCCATGCTTCAAAAATTAAGATCGTCATAGAGACCACACTGATAGTGAATAGGATTTTTCCATATGTGTTGCTAATTGAGATTATAATAGAAGTAATGTTGTTGATGATAGTCGTGAATCGAAATATATTCATATTCTATAATAGTAACGCTGTCCTCATAAAAATCATTTTGCAAACTAAATTACCTCTAATTCATCATGAAACAGTCGTGTATACTGGTCAACGAGTAGTTTTTCTCTCGTGAGTGTTATTCATGTTGTGTTATCGATGAAGACGTGATAAATTTGAACTGGACAATGTTTTGCATGTGATTATAAACGGTACATATACTTATCATTGTATGCTAACAATTGTGTTTGTGTAACATGTCGCATAAATTTAATCTCGTCGTGATTAAGAACACAATCAAAATCAACTTTCTACTAATTTTCATTGGTGTTCTTCCGCTAAACAATGACAAAAAAATCAACGTTTTTGCGATGCTTCAAATGCAGTTCGATTCCAAATATTCGTCAGACATCAATAGATCAAAGAATTTAATCACGCATTCTTTCGTTTCATCATCGAATAGCAGTTATACTTTTACTGGGAATTCTTCTACTCTGAGGTTGTTGAGGGTGAAAAACAGGAATTAATGACATTTGTGATGCATTACGTGCGTGAACTGGATTCCACCGAATGTGAAACACATGAATTTAGGAGTTGTTATGAATTAAAAGAAGAATACATTGTTGATGTATCAAGCAATGCATTTAAAATGAGGCTTTGCATCTTATGATCAACTGAAATTTTATGTAGTTGCAACGCAATCATACTATCATTATCACATACCATAGACCGCGTTGTTTTGGCTGCTCAACGCTTGTTGCACATACTCTCCACTTTGACCGATTTGTGGAGGAGATTTGAGATTCTGTTTGAATTCAGGTCGTTTTTAGTTAGACGTCCATGTCGATGCAGTTCGTTTTATGAGTTGGTTGATGGTGTTTTTTGAATAAAATACTGGTCTTGACCGTAATTTATGGTACAACTGTCATTATATGTTTATATTGCCTTCCTTTCATACTTTCTATTCAAAATCCTTGTGCGCAATTCTTATGGTGAACTTACTGTACGCTAAGCTAACTGATCTTGGTGTATTTTGCGCAGGAGATACGAACACATGAAATATTGATTCCTTGAGGTGCTGTATGATTACTTTGTTTGATCTAGTCCTTTGATTTCAACGCCTTTGACCACTGCACTACTTCAGGCAAGAGAATCTCTGAACTTAGTTGATTGGAATGGCCTGGATAACGAACATGAAAAATTTTGAACGACTCAAAGATTCAGCCGAATATATGAACGCCGTTTACGGCGATCCATTGGCTTACCTGACGGTATTGCCTTTTATTTGCCATGGAATATCGAATTTTGTTAGTTAGGAAGACTTATTTTCCAGGTGAAGAGAACCAAAATTTCAGTGATATCTCAGGCGAAGATGTGGCAGGGGTTAAAATAAAGAATGGTATCATTAAATTCATCATAACTAAATCTGATGAAATGTCCAAATATCATACACCTTGTTTCTGTTCAAGTGAAGTTTTTGCCCGGAGTGTAACGGCTATCAATGCTTTCCAATTCACAGCGAACCTAAACTTCCATCCTACGCTACTCACCAACAATGAGGTATCCTATCAGTAAAATGTCACAGTGGAAAAAAAAACAACTTTTCCCATCTATGAGATGAACGAACATGAAAAATTCGCTCTTATCGATAGTTAACAAGGAGAATAGTGTCAGGAAAGTGAAAAAAAAGAAGATTTTCTCACCGATCGTGAATTTTTTGGAGATTTGGGATATGGAGAATGTTTCAATTCGACAAGCTCATCAGTTCAGGTTTGTTTCAGAGATGTTTCGTTGCTGTTTCTTTTTGCGATATTCACAACAAATAATAATGTCTGCAAGTTCGATGGTAAATGGTTAAAGTGAAGCGATGCTCAAAACCTTGTTCACACTGCAATACATGCGTGCAACGCACTGTGTTTCTTTCGAGGCGATCGAAACATTTTTTGGTAGTAAGTGCTCACGAAAATAATTTAATCAATCTAGTGTGAGCTTATCAGCGGTGACTTTGATCCGAAAACACTTCCATATGAAAGACGTCTAGCATGGCATTTTCGTGAATTCTGTTACAAAACTTCTGCGCACGGGATTCCTATGATTGGTCAGGCACCAAACAAATATTACCGGCAAGTATCACACCATTTTTGATTTATTCTTAATGTTATAACCTTGTGACCACCCTAGGCAATCTTTTGTTGAAATTCATCTTTCTAATCCTTTTCAAGCGATTTGATTATATTTTACATTAATCATCGTAACGCATTCGGTATTGGTATACGGCTGAAGTCAATTTCAGTGCCGTATGGGTATTGCTTTTTCTTGGTTGCATGACAATGCTTTACCAGAACGCTCAGAGCGTTCTTGATAAATATCATCGCAATGAAAAGATTGTCGACATCCAGCTTAAATTCGGTTAGTTGACAATACCAAAAGGTTTCCATTTTAAACGTGACTCATATTTGTTGGGCTGAAAACATTTGCTCTCAGCCAACGCGTCTTCTGATCCCCCCCCCTCCTCCT